CGCATCGAGACCATGGTAGCTGAACGCGAGCACGATAACGCGATAAATACAGAATCGTTGGAAATAGATAAAACAGAGCTACGGAATTACGTTAGAAGTTCGCAAATTAAAAATTCCAAAGGAATGGTTAAAGCGACGACTGGAAACCAATCACAGGTAGAAACTAGCTCCAACTTTCAGGGAAAAGATAAAGACAAAGACGGCGCCACTGCCGATTTCGGAGGTAATTTTTTGTATTTCAATCCAGTCGATTGTGAGGGAAAGTTTGTATCGAAAAATAAGCTACGTAAGTGTAAAACATCGTTAAGAAATGACCAGCTAAATTCCAACGAGTGCAACGAGAAAGTTTTAAGAGACATACTGTACGAACAACCGGAATCCGATTTTCCTGACTCGATACCACGAGATTGTCAATCTTTAAATAACAGACAGTGCACAGAAAATAAACAGAATCAATCAACGAACGTCGTTAACGATGCGGCTCAGTTTGCTAATGAAGTGACGTACTTGGCAAGAGACCGTGTGGAATCGATAGAGAGGAAGAGTAAAGAATCGGTTTCGCAATTGGATGAAACAACGCGCGTACATTCTAGATATTCTACTAATAGGCGCAGTTTCGTTTTGCACGACAAACAAAAATACAATCCGCGTTTAAATTCAGAGCTTTTAATACGCGACAAATCGATGTCATCGGAGAATAAAATCGAGAGAGATAGAATTGCAAACGTCGCCAGCATCGATTGTCAAAATCAGCCGATACATTCGAGACACGTCGAATCGGTTCAGAATGTTAAACAGCTTGAGAGTCTTAGATGCTTGATGGAAGACGATTCGTTAGAAAATTGCATCAAGGCATCTGGCACGTTGGCACAGACTAATGAAAGCAATACCACGCTTGTTAGTTCCTCGTCTGCAGAGAACATGATACGCGAATGGGTGAAAGTTCCGCAAATTAGCGAGAGTACTGACGTACGAAACGAAACGTATAAGAACGTGGATTTGAAATCTTCCGCGGTTGATTCAAACGCGGAACCTCAGACATTCTGGGAAAATGAGAAATCAGTTGACTGTTCGAAAATATTAACCGATGGACAACGTGATCTAGAAGATGACAGCGCGAAGAATCAAACGAAAAGCCGTCGTCGAAGTAAACAAACTATATCGAGTATAATCAGTGGCAGTTTCAAGCTTTGGAATAGCAAAGACTCGATAAAGGATAAAGGAAGTGAGAAACGTTTTCGAAAGCATTTGTTCGAATCGTTTAAAAGTATCAAATCCACGAAGTTCAAAGAGTTAAGTGAAAACAGTAAATCTCTAGATTCATCCGGAAATAATTTATCCAACGGTGTTCACGATATTGCGAGGCGAATCATTTATGACGAATCGTCGTTAAAAAATTTGATAGACAACAGCGGAAAGAAGATGGAGCACATATTGTCACGTTATCAAAAAATTCTGGAAACTACGGAGAAGATGGATTGGCGCAGCTTTCAACGATTTGTCGAAAATTTACACCCCGGCAAGAAAAACGTTTGGCGCGATATTTGCAAAATTATCGATGATAAAGTGAGAAGAATAACCGACGAAGACGACGGCACTGCGGAGATATGTATAGAGATCACTTCCGTTCCCTCCCGAAAGGAAAAGAGACAAGAAAGAGGAACGTGCAGCAACGAGATCGTGTTCGAGATGGACATAACACTCGGAGACGTCGAGAGGTATCTCAGTAGACGACTACCTTCCATCGAGAAAGAGCAGCTTGACACCCTTAAGAGAGCCAGTGAAGTTATTAAAGTTGGAAATGATGACGTTTGTGATATTGGAGTGGCCTCTAATCAACCTGAATAAGCAGTTCTGCACGCTTTCAATTTTCCCTCTACGTAATTCCGATTATCATCAAGTTCTTTTTCGTCATTTCTTCGTGTTTCTCTCCCTTTCTCCGTCACGTGAAATTTCCGTAACTCTCAAACGTTTCTTTTTTTTT